GCGGCCGGCGGGGCGGGCGGGAGCGCGCGAGATCCGCCCAGCTGGGCCGCTCACGTGACCCGCCTCCCAGCGCCCCCGCCCCGCGCTGAAGCCGCCGCGGCCGCCATGTTGACTCTGGGAACGGAGCTGCCTCCCCAGCCAGATGCGATGACTGGCGGCTACGGGCGCGGTACTGCTCCGTGAAGCCCGAGGGAGGCCATGTCTAGTGTGGTCAAGGTCCAGGCGCCGCGGGGTAGCGCTGGGCTAGCGCTGGACTAGCGCTGGGTGGTGGATGCCCCGGGGTGGGACTCCGTCTTGACCTATCTGATGGTGGAGGCCTTGGGAAAGTGCAGGATTCAGGACTCCCCCTTACCATACTCTGGAAGAGGTGATGGACATGGCCCTGACCGATCCTGAGCAAGCCAGCCCCGTCAGGCTCCCGAGGGACCCCGACGGTCTGCTTGCCCACTCGAACGCCATCGCAGAGTCTGGCACGTTTCGGCCAGGCTTGTCTTCCAGGCGGCACTTTGGGGTCGCGGTGAAACTATATTATCAGAATACCTTCCTTTTCAGACCCTCCCTGAGCTCTACCATCATTCCTTCATTCATTCAACAGTTACTGTTAGTGCCAAGCACGGTCCTAGACACTGGGAGTACGACGAAGTGTGAAACTAACAGGGTTTCTGCGTGCTCTCTTGTTAGTGGATGCTGATAATAGCTGCCGTTACAAGCATTGCGCTAAGCATGCAATCTCTCCTTCAATCTTCCATTCAATTCCTTTGAGATTGGTAGACTCTTACCCATTTCAAACCCAAGTATGTTTCAAAGCCCCTAGACTTGCCTTCTAAACAAAAGGTCACAGACCCACAAATATCAGGTGGTCCTATCAGCGAATGAAGAATTCTGGTGTTTCAATCATACTATTATTACTTTAAGTGACTTGACTTAGTGTTGCGGAGAATATAAGGAATGGCAGGGACTCTGGCAAATTGCAAATCAACATCCTTCTAAAGGGGGTGGCTGCCACTCAGCTCCAGCCAATTGTTCCCATGCAGAAATGAGGGCTCAGATCATCTGATTCTTTAAGAGAAGGTGGAAATCCTATTTTTAAATGTTGGTTCAATTAAAAAAGAAGAAAATAGTGCAAAAAAGTACATCTTTGTGCTGCCAAATCCACTGGTCTATGACCTCCTCTCTGTAGATTCTCCTCTTTGCTAACCCTTCTCCTGAGTCCTGGTTACTGCAGAACGGAGAAATCAGGGAAAGGAGAGCCTTTCCTCTTTTCAAAACATAAATCCCACCTTCCACCGTATTTCAAAGTAAATGGCTTTTGCCTCTGACCTCCCACCCCATAGTAAGCAGGACCTTTATGCTGACACCCAGTGGATTCTTTGCACTAGTCCCCAAATCACCTTGCAAACGTGTTTAAATTTTTTCAAAAATATGAAATTGTGGCGGAGGAAGGGACAAGAAAAGGAAGAGCTTTTGGTGAAATTTCAAGCAGTTTGACAACATTTTATCACAATATTCAGCCATTATGCTGAAAGTTGGTTTGTTTGCTTGCTTGCTTGTTTCTAGTATATGGGAAGGGTCTTGGGGCTGTGGTCTCTCTCTGTAGATTTCAGTCTAACTTGGGAGTTAGCCCCCAAGGTTTGCTTCCCTATGCTGCCTTTATTTATTTATTTATTTATTTATTTATTTATTTATTTTAGCACTTCTCCATTTTGGACTCATGTCCGTAGCACCAGTCACACTTGCTCAAAATCCGCAAAAGACTGTCAGCTCTTAAGGCAGAGATTAGCTCTCTTTTGCTGACCATAGATGCCCAGCACTGACCATGGCTCTAATAAATGTTTGGTTGAATGAATAAACTGTCTTAGAAGGAAACTGGGCATAGCAACAGCTTTTCAGCCCTCACATCTTATGCCCTGAGCCTATCTACAATTTCAGCCTCAACTATAAACTCTGTAAGTCATTGCCGTGTGGCAGCCACCCACCACACCCCCACACACCCCTGCCACTTCAAAAGCCTGCTGTTTCTTTGCTTTTCTGCTTGAGGATTCTCCCTAAAGCCAGGGAACTCACTAGGTGGAGTGGGATTAATAAGCCCCCTCCCCTAAGCAGGGGCAACCTTCAGCCAGTGGGAAGTATCAGCTGGTGGAAAAACATCCCAGCCTCCCATCCTTTGGATGGACAACTGTGGGGTGCATCCAACAGAGTTCTTCACAGAGTCTCCAGCAAGATTGAGCCCCAGTTGCCCTCCATAGTAACCAGTTCAATAATGCACCCTTTTCTAGATTTCTTTACTTGCCTGTCTCAGTCTTCCTACTCCCTCAGTCCTGCTTCCAGGATCACCTCCCAAACAGACTGTCTGCACCCAGGTCTTTGTCTCAGGCTCTGATCTAAGGGGAACCCAAATTGAGACATTGAGTCACTTTAATTAGACCTGGGGAATTCAAACCCAGGACAGATCTGGGATTGGTTGAGACGGGGTTTTCTTTTAGCTGCTGCAAACAATCCTTGGCCTTCTCCACCAATGCACCTTGTCCACATGACTGTCCTGACAGCTGCTTTCCAGAACATCATTCCTCCCTTTACATGCATGCCTGGCAGACAGTGGGTATTAACAAGAGTTCTTTTTTTTTTAATTTATGAAACGGAGAGTGGTCAAAGACCACTGGAAATTTACCACCCTGCTCCTCTTCTTTATACTGGAGCCTTAGGCAAAATATGACCACATTGCCTGGGCCCTCCTTTCCATTTTCCTTGCTTGTCCGAGCCAGCTACTCAGCATCCCATGGCTATCCTGTGCCTTGAAGAAATTAGGGCACCTTAGCACCTCCTTAGCACCACCACACAGCAGGGGCAAGCTATGGTTCACCACGCCCCTTTGAACATTGCCCCCTCCCCTAGCCCAGTACCACCTAGTTGTCACTCCCACCTTTTCCCACCAGCATGTAGCTGAAATCCAAAATATAGTTGCTATAGTTCACAGTAATTGGAGGCTGGTTTCCTTGGTCACCAGAGTCCAGTAAAATACGGTTCTCTCTGATGTTACTCACGTGGGAGTGTCCTCCAATCACTCCTTCTACTCCAGCATTATGGAATGTCTTGTTCTTCCCCCACACCCTCAGGCAATTTGATCCAGACCCATGGGCCTTTGCTCAAGATGTATTCTCTAGGCCAGACACCTTTCCCTGGGCACTCCCCATCCTTAGAGTCTTATCTTAAGTGTCACCTGCTCCAGGAGGTGTCCCTTCCGCAGGCTCTCTTGGCACCTCTCAGTCATGACACTAATTTTACCATATTGGAAGTCAGCTTACAATCTGTCACTTGCCCTAAGGTATAGACTTCAACCCAACAGAGGCTCCTCTTACCCACTACTGGATAATTAGTAAGGTAGCCATTGTATAGCATATTGATTATTTGGCAGCAGTATATCTAAACAACATCTGAACTCCTTAATAAGACATATGAACCCTCTTCCAAATCGGGCCCCTTTTACCATTCTGCTCCAGGCTTATTGGTCTCCAAAGGGCTCCAAAGCCATCCTATCCCAGCTTGACCAGAACAGCCTTGGAAAAGAATTCCTAGTTGGAGCACTCAGATGGTCATTCTTTAAGACCCACCCCAAACAACATTCTATAGTAAATCTTCCACTGTCTATACCCACCCCTTACCCCCAAACTAGGGAAACACAAATTAGAAACAACAGTGCAGTGAGTAGTGTCGTGATCTAAATTTGGTCCATCCCTGCAACTATCTCCTTAAGCTGACACCTTGGGCCAAAGGGTATGCAAATTTCATATTTTGACACCTATAGTGTCAAGCTCACCTCCAGAAAGGTTATATCCTGTCAACAATGAATGGGGTGTGCACATTACCCAAACCCTAGACAGTATTGAGTTTTTCAGTCTTTTTCACATTGGCAAATACAATGAAAAAAAGATGGCGTATTAATGTACTTTTATCTGTAGGAGTGAAGTTGAACAACATGTTCTGGTCTTCTACCATCCAACATCTAAATAGACTTCCTTTTTGAAGAGGATACCAAATTAGGCAGGACAATTCAAACTCTATTATGAAAACTGAGCAGGGGATGGGGAGAAAGTATTTGCCTTCCCAGCCCTGGAAGCTAGAGGCCAGGAAGATCACCTAAGAAAGACCAGTCAGATGCTCCCACCTGGACCTTGGCTCTGGATGTATAGTTACAAGCTTAGTTGGAGATAATTAGTGAAACTAGTGGCTCTATACTCAGCAGAAGGTCCAGTGGTGGCGGTGCCAGTGATGGTGGCAGTGAGTGTCCAGCTGGCTGCTCTAGTGGCAAGTTCTTACTGGTGTCTGCCTACCTGCGTTTCTGTCCAAGCCTGTTTCTCCAGCTCTGTTTATTCTGCGGGCTAACCTAATAGGCTTCCTATATATTTCTTTATTGCTGAAACTAACCAGTGTCAGTTTCCGTTGTTTGCAATCAAGAAAATGACTAGTAATGCCTTTTAGTTAGCAATTTGTATTTTTGCTGCTGTGATTTACCTGTACACATCATTTGCTTATTTTTTCTTTGGTGTGTTTCTTTTATAAATATTGATCAGTAAAAGTACTTTGTATATGAGTTATTCCTTGGTCTATGCAATTTCATTTGGTTATTTACCTTTCACCATATTTGCAGTATTTTTATATCACATAGAGAATTTAAATTATTTTATATAGTCAGATTGATCAATTTTTTCTATAAAGATTTCTTTCTCTTCTTATTTATTTATTTTTTTAACATGCTTAGGAACTCCAAGATCATAAGAATACTCATCTGGGCTTCCCTGGTGGTGCAGTAGTTAAGAATCTGCCTGCCAATTCAGGGGACACGGGTTCGAGCCCTGGTCCGGGAAGATCACACATACCGTGGAGCAGCTAAGCCTGTGAGCCACAACTACTGAGCCTGCGCTCTAGAGCCCAGAAGCCACAACTACTGAGCCCACGTGCCACAACTACTGAAGCCTGCGCACCTAGAGCCTGTGCTCTGCAACAAGAGAAGCCACCGCAATGAGAAGCCCGTGCACCGCAGCGAAGAGTAGCCCCCGCTCGCCGCAACTAGAGAGAGCCCGCGCGCAGCAACGAAGACCCAACTCAGCCAAAAAATAAATAAATAAATTTATATATTAAAAAAAAAAAAGAATACTCATCTGTTTTTTCATTTAGTGCTGTTATGGTTTCTATTTTTTTCTTTTTCTTACTGTTAATGTTGGTTCCACCTGGAATTTATTTTTGTGAAGGAAATGAGGTAAGGATCTTGCCTTTTTCCCCACTCACATGGCTAGCTAGTTGTCCCAGCACCTTTTTTTTTTCTAATCTAACCTTTTTCCACTGCTTCAAAATACCACT